TGTGATACCCTCTCTTGGGTGCTGAGCGGGTGTGCTGGATTTGGAGAGACAGACTCAGAGGAGTTGTCATTGCCTGGTGAGGCAGAATTTGTGGGTGAGAGCTCTCAGTGATGCCAACTCACACCCATACACATCTTTATAATTTACAATATTTGTCCCATTTTATCCTCCCAACTATCTGTCTCATGTAATACAGAGATATGCAAGAGAAAAATACCTCATAGGTAAACAAAGCTAACAATACATTTTTACACCCTGAGTTAATGCTATTTACATGGTATTCATGGTACTTTATGGTCATAATCATCATTTTGCAGATGAAGATGATGAGCCTGATAAAGGTTCTCTGGTTCCCAAAGTCACAATTTTTTTTTTTTAAGATTTATTTATGTATGGAAGAGAGAGAGCGCTCATGCACACGCACGTGCACATGGGTTGGGGGGGAGGGGCAAAGGGAGAGAGAGAATCTCAAGCAGAATCTGTGATGAGCAGGGAGCCCGATGTGGGGCTCGATCTCACAACCATGAGATCACAACCTGAGCCGAAACCAGGAGTCAGATGCGTAAGCGACGGCACCACCCAGTTGCCCCCCAAAGTCACATTCTATGACGCATCTAATCTGACTCAAATCAAGATCCTCAGTTTCCAAATTCTAGGCTATTTCTATTATAAAATACTATGGCCACAACTGCACGCTACTTTACCCTAACCTTGCTGCTAAGTCATGCTACTTCTGAAAGGAAAGTTGAGATTTCAACATGAATTTCTGGAAGCGATGTCCTAAATGGCAGCTCCCCAAATGGTCCCCCATGGTGAAATGACAAAGAAGATGGGGAGCAAATCCAATATCTCTGTGTGCCAGTTACTTCCCCGCCTCCCACTCCCGCTCAAGTTACCCACAGAGCCCCAGGAGTTGTTGTCTCCTTTTAATCTGGCACTGTGGGAACTGGAATCCAAATGTATATACCGCATTAAGGATGACCCATGTCATTAGATTACACCTGAATTACTGGTCAAGATTAAAAACCGCATAAGCAGGGGCACCTGGGTGGCTCAGTTGGTTAAGCGACTGCCTTCGGCTCAGGTCATGATCCTGGAGTCCCTGGATCGAGTCCCGCATCGGGCTCCCTGCTCAGCAGGGAGTCTGCTTCTCCCTCTGACCCTCCTCTCTCTCATTCTCTCTGTCTCAAATAAATAAAATCTTTAAAAAAAAATAAATAAAAATAAAAAAATAAAAACCGCATAAGCAAAGAAACCACTCATCAGTGGCCGTGTGTCTGGCAACAGGTATGACTCTGCTCCTGCTGAATGAGCAGGACCACGCCTCCTCGGTTAGAGAGGCAGGTGCAAGTTCTGTCTGCCCCTTTCTAGTTCTCGGGGTTTTGATTATTGAAATCATCGAGGTTCTGCTTCCTCTTCTGTATTGGATATAATCAACAATTTTGCTTCAAAGAGTGGTTGGTTGTGAGGGTCAAGTAAGTGTCATACATTTTATGAACTGTTGTGCGGTCTTAAGTATTTTTCTGTGGCCTGGGCAGAAGTTCCGTCTTGCCAGAAGGACTGTAAGACTCTCAGCTTATGCCTCAGACATACATTTGTTTCCCCTCCGAGAATATGGAGTAGATGCTAGGCTCTCAGTATTTACTTACTAAAATCATGGAACTAATTTGTGTTCTCTTATTAGTTTGTTGCATATTTATTTCCTGTCCATTCGCCACCAGAATATCAGTTTCATGAGGGGACGTTTACTTGTTTTGTTCTCCGCTGAATTGCAAACACCCTAAAACATGGCCTGGCACACATGGACAATCATTAAATATTGAATCATGAATGAATGAATGAATGAATGATGCTCACTGAACTAGGAGTTTCTAGAATGGGAATCCAATATAATTTCTTTTTTATATTTTTAGCACCAACTTCCTTTTCTCACCCATTTGGCACTTAACTAATTGTTCCTGGATGAATTTTTTTTTTAAAGATTTTATTTATTTATTTGAGAGAGAGAGAATGAGAGAGAACACATGAGAGGGGGGAGGGTCAGAGGGAGAAGCAGACTCCCTGCCGAGCAGGGAGCCCGATGTGGGACCCGATCCAGGGACTCCAGGATCATGACCTGAGCTGAAGGCAGTCGCTTAACCAACTGAGCCACTCAGGCGCCCTCCTGGATGAATTTTAAAACCCTCACAAACTGGTTTTGTTGCCTTCCTGTCCATTCTCACCATCTTCACTCTTATTCAGGTACAAATTACATCACACTCAGATTATTTTTGTAAGTGTCCTATTTCCTGACTCCACTCTTTCTTCTCTAGTCCATAGTGTACTATGCTGCCAGAAAAATCTACCTAAAACACAGATTTCAGCTTGTTAACTGGCCTGAAAGTCTTCAACGGCTTCACATCATTGTACCTCTGAAACAAATAATACATTATATGTTTAAAAAAAAAAAAAAAGAAGAAGAAGAAGAAGATAGCATAAGGGGAAGAATGAAGGGGAGGAAATTGGAGGGGGAGACGAACCATGAGAGACGATGGACTCTGAAAAACAAACTGAGGGTTCTAGAGGGGAGGGGGGTGGGAGGATGGGTTAGCCTGGTGATGGGTATTAAAGAGGGCACATTCTGCATGGAGCACTGGGTGTTATGCACAAACAATGAATCATGGAACACTACATCTAAAACTAATGATGTAATGTATGGGGATTAACATAATAATAAAAAATGGCCATAAAACTAAAACAAAAAAAACAAAACAAAACAAATCTCATTCTGACGTTCAGAACCCTCAACAGTAAATCCATCTGACTTTTCATTCCCTTCCCTATGACCCCCTCCTGCTTCTGAAACCTCTATTCCAGCCGGCCTGTCTACTCCTTTCATGTCTTTAATTTTCTCACTTTTGCTCCTTTGATCATGTTAGTTAGCACCTAAAATGCGCTTCCTCCATATCTAACATGGCTATGAAATCCAGCAACTTTTAGTTGTGAACGTTCTGTCCTAAATCATGGGATGTTTATCCCATAGTCCCTTTTGGTTCAATTTAAAATTTATTTCCAGTAAGATCGTACAAGATGGCAAACAAATCTTGTTGTTTGTTTATGTTTTGCTTATTTATTGATCAACATGCACTTTCGGAAAAGAGTTGAATTTCTTTCTCAGGGTTGTGGAAAGCTATTGGAGTGATTTTAGCAGAAGAGTGACATGATCTAAGTAATGTTTTAAAGCACAGTGTCCCAGGGCACCTGGGTGGCTCAGTCGGTTAAGCGTCTGCCTTCGGCTCAGGTCATGATCCCAGGGTCTTGGGATTGGGCCCCGCATGGGGCTCCCTGCTCAGCGGGAAGCCTGCTTCTCTCTCTCCCTCTGCTGTTCCCCATGCTTGTGTGCTCTCTTTCTCTGTGTCAAATAAATAAATAAAATCTTAAAAAAAAAAAAAAATGGCAGTGTCCCAAGCGCAGCAGTACTGACATTTTGGGTCAGATAATTCTTCGTTGTGGGGAGTATTCCCGTGGGAAGTGGGAATGTTCAGCAGCATCTGAGGCTTCTACCTACCAGATGCCAGTAGAACCCCCATCCCCCACCGTGACAGCCCAAATGGCTCCAAGGCATTGCCAATGGTCTCTTGGACGGCACCCCACTGAGAACCCTTGTTTTAAACAACCCAGTGCCCCCCTCAGCTGCTCTGTGGAGAAGAGAACAAGGGAGAGAAGCAACGGTAAGATACCCTCACCATCTGTTTTCTCTGACCTTGGATGTGAGGCAAGGAGGAGAGAAAAGAAATGTCCATGAGCTTTACTGTGATCTGAGCAGAGATAAATAAGGTATCAATAACTGACTCCTCTCTGAAAGGTGAAGAAGAAAATGTAACAGGTCCAAATAATCTAATGAGGAAGTTTGTGCTATTATGTGAGGTCTAGTTGAGTACACATGTTATACTGTAATCTGAAAACAGAAAATAAATAATTTTACAAGTGTTCCTTTTCTGCCTTGGAAATTCACATTTGTCCTTCTCTGGGGACAGACTGAGATTCAGGAAAGCAGTTTTCAAAGTTTAATTGAGAATAAAACAATAACTTACATCTAAGAAATGTTTAGAAAGTACCACCACCATTGCCATTTTCAGAATTTAAAAGGTTTTGGGGGGCGCCTGGGTGGCTCAGTGGGTAGAGCATGCAACCCTTGATCTCAGGGTCATGAGTTCTACCCCTGTGCTGGATGTGGAGCCTGCTTTAAAAAATACAGTACAGTAAAATAAAACACAAAGAATTTAAATGGTTTTAATCTTGATTGTTTTTGAGAGATTTCTTCCTGAAATCAAATGTGAATAGGAATTCTTCATTACAGATGACAGGAATATCAGCTCTCATTTCTTGTAGCCTCTGACTGGGGTAACTATTTCTCCTTAATCCTACCCTGCACCCCAGGACACCCTGCACCCCAAATCCAATCCTGGCTCTGGGCAGGGGAGATAGAAGGAGCTCCCCGTCATTTACTCTTTGGCTCAGTTTTGAGTAGGTATCACTTCTGGTTCTAAGCCAACTTTGGCATCAGCTTTCCAGTGCTCTGGTTTCTCTCTTTTTTTTAAATCTCTCCTAATGCTTGGATTTACTGTGTTGTAAACCAATTCTCCTCACCTTGTCAAAATCCTTGCCACTATTTTTCTGATAGCGGCTGCTGGATTACAGTACACTTTTTATAGTTTTTTATTTTTCTTTCTCCTTTTCATTGAGAAAATGAAGGTATTTTCTATAATAACTGAACTTTTGCAATCATAAACAAGTTTTTGAATTATTCGCTGGGAAAAAAATGGAGACAAACATTTATTACAGAAAGACACAGGCCTTTAAAGATATTAGGAGTTTAGATCTGAGTGGGGAACTCTTATCTCCAGCTCCATAATAACAGAGATAATAGTAATGATAGCAAGCATGATAGCACCAGGGATACGGCAGGGCACATTTTTATGTTCCATTCATCCTTTCCAGCTCTTTTTTATTCTTTATAGTATTGGAGGTGTTCGGCAAGGAAGAGGATGAAACAGAGACTGTGTTTGTATAATAATAATGCACTAACACAATGCTCAGAGAGAAAGAGAACACAGGCTAGAGAAGACGTTGTCTGTCTTGAATGGGATTCCCTCCTTAGCAGAAGAAGGGCATATGGTCACCATGCAGAGCATTAAGTCTGAAGACCGTCTCTTTCCCTCTCTCTGGGCTGGCGCGTGGACTCTTACAGAAAGGACTGATGCTAACTAAGGAGGAAGGATGAGAGACCAGTGATTCAAGAGGCTCCAGGGCACCCATTGTATGAACTGCTAAATGATTGCAAGAGCAAAGCAAAGGACCATTTTGCTCCACCTCTGGTCTCCGTGAGTTCAAGGTTGCCTGCCAGAGTTTTTTTCCCCCTGTTGGTAGTAGACTGCACTTAGGCTGCCTCCCACAAGCTAAGGAGGAACCACCACCACTCCCAGGAGAACAGCTAACATTCACTGAAGGCTTATTTAAAGTCCCTCACCAGGCCTTCTTCTGTGCCCTCGCAAAACCTGATCTTTATGCAGGCTTTCTTCTCCGCAAATTGGAAAAGCCAGAGCCAGCTGTGTGTCCCGAAATACCTTGGAGACGTTGCTGCCAGGGGAGTTCATGAGTGGGGACCAAAATAGGGCCGACGATTTTTTTCCTAGGAGTCTGACTACCCAAGGGGCTGCCTGCTCTGCGTTGACGTGGCTTTGTTCATTTCTCCGTGACAAGAGACTCGTGGCTGTCAGGACAAGATCCTTGGAAGCCCAGGGCTGAATTCGAAGGCAGCTTTCCCCTTGCAGGCTCTAACCAAATCCTTGTTCTCAGAGGATCAGCCTTGCACAAGCTCTGAGAGGGGCCCGCTGGGCTGGGTGATTGCCCAGTCTTGTCCCAAGTGCGGAATTTCACTTGGTGGCCTCGCAGAAGGCCGATTAGAGGGGGTGCTGATGACACCTTGAAAACCTGGCTGCAGATGTTTTGGGCCGTCTCTGGGGATGCCTCCTCTTCCTGAAACGGCAGGGCACCCACTCCTCTCCCTGCACACCCCCACCCCTGCTCCCTCTACCCATTACCACTAATCACCACCTTGAAGTTTTATGACTTTACAACTACTGTTTGGTGAGCTCCACCTGAAGGGAAATAAATCCTCAAAGTGAAGGCAATTTGTCAGCGCAATATTAAAACGAAGTGTGGAGAAGAAACACTTCAGCAAAAGCCAAGCTCGCTAACCTTTCAAAAGGAAGTGTATTTAATTTGAGCTGAATCAGGAAGACTGTTTGGCTGTCTTCTGTATTTATAAGCATTATGTGTAGGCTTCATGTTACCCCAAAGTCTGCTTGTAATCCTGTCCCTCTGCAAAAAAAAAAAAAAAAAAAAAATGTCTTCTTAAGCTGTAAGCTGCATTCTGAATTCTCACTAGTCTGCAATGCTTGTATGCTTGTTCAACCCACCTTAGGGCCATTTCCTGAATGTTACTTCCTACCTCCATCTTCCTACCCCTTCCTCAACCCTTACCACATCACGCAAAGGAAGGCTGTTAGATATACCTCAGAGATGGGATTTTTAATATAACATCTTAACTCGTGTTCCTGTCCCCAGTTTCCACCTCTCTTGCCAAAAAGCAATACAAACTATTCTCCACATAGTTGTGAAAGTGATATTCCAAAAATATCTAATCACATTGCTCTCCTGCTTAAAACTTCTATGGCTCCCTATTGCCTACAGAATCGAGTCTAAACAACTTATAATGGAATCCATGGTTGTTCTCTACCTCTACCCACAGCTGTGTTGTTTCATAGCTTCCATGCCTTCCATGATTCTGATTGGAATACTTCCACTGTTTAATCTCAGGACTGGGGAAGTCCTATTCATCCTTCAAACCCCACGCCAGCACTCATCTCTTTTAGGACATCTTTTCTGACTTACTGTCTGTGTATTTAATCATTTCCTCCTCATGATTATTTCTGCCTCTTGTACCTGCTTGTAGTGGTGCACTTATTGGGTATTATAATTGGTTTATCTCTCTCCTACTCAGTTATAATTCCTTGAAGGTAGATTCTATGTCTTACTCATTCCTGTGTCTTCAGGTTTTAGCATAGCACCTGCCACACTGTAAGCTTTCCACAGTTAATTCTCAGATTGATTTATGCTTATTCACATCTCTAATGGATATGTGGCGGAAAATAAGACAGTATACAAACATGAGAGAGGAAATACGGCTTGAGTGGTGGAATCATAATTCAGATATGGTCATGCTAGATTGACTCCATGGTTTCTTCCACTCAGATAAGCTGGAGGAGGTGACCTCTTGCTTTTGAGCTCAGTGAAAATGATCATGTTTCTCTTTTGATGTCCAGTGTCTTCTTTCCTGTTCTTCCCTCAGTTTTCTCTCTCCTTCTTAGAACTAGAGGGCACTGCCCGAGTGTCCTCCTTCCTCATCCCCCATTTTTTTCTGCGGGTCTCATCCTGAGAGCATGACGTCAGGTTAATGCAGAAGGGTCCCAGTTTATACCTGTTGACTAGTTTCATCCTGAAAAGTGGACCCCTTCACTCTCAAGTTTTAGGATTTGGACAAAAAAAATTTGTGTACATTTGCATACATGCACAAGTAGGGATGGAGAGAGCAGAGACAGAGTTTGAGGGGAGGTGGGAGGGAAATGAGGACATGGCTTATGTTTCATGAAGAAAGGGAGGAAGAGAAGCCACCTCTTGCAATAATGGTGGTAAGTAATACTTGTGATGTGATGTGGTTTTAAATTCTTTTTTTTAAGAGAGAAAGAGTGTGTGCAGGTACGGGGGAGGGCAGAGGGAGAAGAAGGGAGAGAATCTCAAGCAGACTCCCCACTGAGTGTGGAACCTGATGCAGAGCTTGATCTCACGACCCTAAGATCACCACCTGAGCTGAAATTAAGAGTCAGGCGCTTAACTGACTGAGCCACCCAGGTGCCCCTAAATTATTTTCATGTTCATGATCTCATTGGATTTTCACAACCTGATGCATTAGATGGAACAGGAAATAGAATCCTTGTTTACAGATGAGGAAACTGAACACTCAGCTGGCCCAAGTTTGCACAGTAAATAGCAGCCCCAGGATTCAAATCTACATTTTTCTAATTATAAGTCCGCTACACTTTTGATGTTTCTACTGTGATTTCATAGCTGTGTATGTTTAATTTGTGATGAAATTCAGTGACTAAAGAATGGGAACTCATTCTGGTAATGTTCTGCCTAGAATTTGTTCCCTTATGGCTGAGACCTAGAGGGGCGGTAGCTGTCCTTTCCCCACACCCATCCTAAGAGTCTACTGTCCACAGTGCAAGAAAGAGTCTCAGATCTTGCAGGGCACAGAGACTGAAGAGAGACACATTTCTAGCCCATCCCAGGTATGTGCCCTATAAAATATAAACACAGATAGCAATTGAGAAATTCCTTTCATGAAGAGGAGCTTGTAGTAGATGCTATCCAGTGTCTGGCTTCTATTCCCTAATCATCTTCTCTGCTGCCATCCATGACCCCCTGCCTGGGGCTTTATTATCTATAATGGCAAGCTTCAACCACATGCTGGGCAGGCTGAAAGTGCTGGGGAGTTAACACCCCTGGGAGCAGAGTTAACCCCCTTGGGTGTGGCTCTCATCAATGACTAACAGTTGTCAGTAGATAAATACCCCGACTTCCTCCTCCCCTCACTGAGGGAGCATCCACTCTGAGGCCTGTTTGGCACCATCTCCTGGAGTTCCCCAGGGAAACTGAACCTGAGCTGCCCACAGGGGGAGACTGCTTATTCGGGTACCCTGTGCTGACTCCCTTGTCTTCTTCATTTCACTTCCTCACCTCCCTCCTGGTGCTTCCTGGTATCACCTCCAAAATAAACTACTGGTGTGGACATTCAAATCTCAAAGTCCGCTTCCAGGGGAACCCAATTTAAGACTTTCTTCCTTAAAAACTTCAAGCACTTGCAGAAAGAGAATGTTGGAGTTCTCCGCAGTGAATACATCAGCATGAAGTCAGAAAGCAACTGGTCCGCACAAAGTAACTTCCCTCAGACTGAGCACAGAAGACCAGCGTCAGTGGAGGCCAATGACCAATGGTCAGCAACTATTAGAGAGGCGGTCTGTAACTTCCTAGTTAGATGCCTACTAATTCCAGTTTGTTATTTATATGTTTATGTTTGTCATCAAATTCTACAGTGGCGCATGTTGCCGTCCCAGTGTTCTCAGGTGACCCTGTGTGCATCTTCCTACTCAGGGCTAATTCTTCCTCCACCGGTGTGGTGATCTCAACCTGCTTACCTCAGGGACCCTTCTGCATTTTCTTAATCTGTCTTTTGTTCTTGTAGTTCCCTCTTTTCACGCTCTCCTCATCGCAGGAGTCTTTATTGTGTTACAAAAATGATGCTGGGAACTTGGGATGTTTTCTCCCTCTTCCAGTCAAGATTCTTAAAAAGAATAGATTCCTCTCCCTCTTGTTTCCTCATCTCCCACCCACCTCTCAGCCCACTGCAATCTGGCTTCTACTCTTACTACTTGACTGAAATTCCTTTTTGGAAGGTCAAAGGTCACTAAGGATTGGTCAAGGTGAAATCCAACTCTAAATGTCCAGCCCTTATAACACTTGACCCCTTCACAGCAACTGACAGTGCAGAGATGAAAAGTAATATTACACGTATAGTAAGTGCTTGGTAATGTCATCTATTATTATTAAGATTATTGCTAACTCCCTAACTTCTTGAGACCTATCCTAAGGCTTTCTGGAAACAACTTTGGTTTGTTTGCTTGCTTTTCTCTTACCCATCTGATCTCTCTTACTTCATTTCCTTTACTTGATCTTATGCCTTTGCTTACTTTTTTAATGTTGTGTTCTCCAGAGTTCTATTCTGTGCTTTTCTCTCCCTACGCGTGTCCCAGGGAGGTTCCATTTACTTCTATAACTTCAGAAATTCATTTCTCTAGTCCAGAATTTGTTTTAATGAATCATGGATTTTTACTTCTGATTCTTTTATGAATATCTCTACCTGGATGTTTTAAAGGGCTACCCAACTCAACATATGCAATGTGGAATTTCTTTCCTTTGTTATGCCTGTCTACCCCTCTCTGCTACTCCTTTAGTATTGCATATCATGAATGGTACCACCACCTCCATAGAAGCCCAAGCCAGAAACCTCCATGAATTCCTATTTTCTTCCTTCTCACACACCAACCTCCCTCCCATCACCTCTAGTTGTCTATAATAGCCCATAGATAATAATATTTGAATATCTCTCCAACCCGCTTCCTCTTATCCAGTCTATAGACATTACCTGAGCCTTAGGTCTCATTATATCTTTCTGGTAAGATTGCCCCAGCAAACTTCTCAACTGCCTCCAGATAATACTTTACAGCCTGATGCCAGAGAATCTCCTCTAGTTTACTAATTTCTAGTTTCTAGTTTCTAGTTTACTGTCTCATGCCAGAGAAGTATTCAAAACTATAATTCTTTATATAATATGATGTCTATAATATGAACTCTATTGATTGTAACACACACATGAATATAACACCCCAGGCCCTACAAGAATTTTTATGATCTAGATGTGGGCAGCTCTGGCGCCCCATAAATTGCCACTTCACAAAAATATACACAACCATACAAAATTGCTTAGTGACACACCCTGGGTTTGTGTCCTGGGCACTCTCCTCCACTTACCCCTCATCCCCACTTCCCCCAAAAGTAAGAATTACTAATCCTATACTACAGTGTACATATATCCCATATGGCCAGTTCTATAGCATATTTAAAATAACCGATTTAAATGGTTGTCTTTCCTAGTGGCCTTTTGAAATCCTCAGAATAGGATATTTTATAATATTCGCCATTAAACCACAGGGCTTATCACAGTGCTCAGTTCACTCCAGACGATGAGTTCAGTCATTTTCATCCAATTCCTGTTATCTATCTAAAGACTTATCTACAGAAGTTCTTCAGGAATTGTTAAGAACATAATAAATACATGAGGACAAGAGTTTCCGTCCAATATGAGCAGATGAGACTCAACGGGGAGTTGGGGTCAGAGGCTAAGGGGTCAAGTCTTGAATTTGACCAGATTCTCTTACTGTGAATTTAGACAAGTTATTTACATAAACCCTCTAAGTTTAAACTGGCTCAGCTTTAAAGTCAGGCTAACAATTCTTGCCTTACTATCCTATTGCACAGATTAAGTGAGATCATATGTGGCAAAATAACTTCATAAATTGAAGAATGCTTTAAAAATACAAGATATTATGATCACCACACATAAGTGGTTTACTGATACCAAAAACACAGTTTCTCGATCATTTGGAATGATTTCAACTGCAAGAAACAAAACCAGAAAAATGGTGGCTTTAGAAACAGAAGTCTGTTTTTCTCATCAACAAGAAATATGGAGGTAAATAGTTGGTTCAGCTGGTTCAGTAATGTGTCAGGGACTCAGGGTCTGTCTCTATTTTTACTCCATCATCTTTAGTGCATTGGCTTTTGTCTTCATGCTTGTTACCTCGAAGATGGCTAAAGCAGTTACAGACTTGACATCTTCATCCACAGCAGAAAGAAAGGAGATAAGGGAGAAAGCACAAAATCCATTTGTTTTCTTTATTAGGAAGCACAAGCTTTTCTGGAAGCCTCTGTCAGACTTCTGCTCCCATCTCATTGCCTGGAACTCCCATGGCCACTCGGAGCCCCGTGGAAGACTGGGGACTTCAGGTGAGCAAGGAAGAAGGAGCTTGAGAGTGGATGTTGGGCTTGCCGGCTAACAGTGTTTGCAACAGATATTTTTTTGAACACCTCAATTTTGAACCAGCTGTTGAGAAATCAAGCATAGCATTGTGTTCTCAGAGAAGCTTCCAGTGTGTAGGAGGTAGTTATCATTAAGGGTGATTAAGAGTCAGCATGTCTTGGCTCAGTGGGGTAAGCAGCTGACTCTTGATTTCAGCTCAGGTTGTGATCTCAGGGTCCTGAGATTGAGCCCTGCTATTGAGCCTTGCATTGGGCTCCATGCTCA